ACGTTACTTACCGTACTATAGTACTACGTAGTACTACTAACTTACTACTACTACTACTAACCTAACTAACTTACGTAGTAAGTAAAGTAAGTACGATAGTATATATATATATATATATATATATATATATATATATATATGTAACATATGTAAACTCGACTTAAAGAATCATAGAGAAACTAATAAGCAATTTTTAGGCATGTCCTAAAGATTGTATTCATGCAATAGATAATTTTTACGAGGGGGTTTTTGGCATCACAAGGCAGTTGTACTCCAGGCATTCGGCTGGCTTTGTCAGTAATATTGAGTGATAGTCTTAATATATATGTTTTTATACTCTGCAGTTTATAAAAATTTCTCAAGAAAATTATCCTTGTTACTTAAGTGTGTAATAAGTTTCAGTGAATGTGTAAATGTTTCAGGTGGTTAGTTACCATCAACAGCATTAAAAGGAGTGTATAGGAATATATGCTCAGAGTTGCTGCTTCTGAGATGATAACTCGCCTCTACACACAATTTAGGAATCTTCCTCACACAACTACCAGAGAAATTTTCATGCCACTTTAGGTAACCCCCACCTAATTTCACGTGACTTGTGCTGGTGGGTGATGACGTCATCAGGCAATAAATGACCTCAACCAATAAAAGGGCGAAATACCTCCATGCACAATGCAATTGCACTCGTGGTAACTTCATTCTTCTCTTTGGCATTCTATTAAACGGACATGTATTAATTTCTCATCCGAGTTCAATTTATTGAAAATTGCATTGTTAACGAAACCTTGATTTTCTTTTTCTTTGGCTTTTAATTTTAATCATCAGTTCTCAAATTACGGTGATTTTTTCTGAGAAAGTGACTTCATTTACACTTGGGTCTTGTTTCTATTGTGGCATTTTTTTTTTAGGCTTGTTGCCTGTTAGGGTCATTGCTGCCATTATTCATCATGTTGTGAATTACCACGTGCTTGCTGGGCCTCCTTCTCTTGTCTCTTATACTGAATTTCTTTTTTCTCAGTTGGAAATAATCTATTGGACTACGACCTTGACCATATTATCTTTATAATTTGAGAAATGTTCTTAGCTGCCCAATTTCTTTCTGGTTTTTATCCTCAGGTATGTTTTTTTTCTTATTTCTCATTTTCTTACTTCATGATCCACAATTCTTGGAATTTACCTTGTCTTTTCTCCATGCTGTTATTTTTATTATTTCCTTTCTCACACCCAAACACCTCATCCCCCTTGCATTTGTGCCTTCTTTTGTCCTGGCTTGTAGACTATTCTTTTCCTTTTTTCGATTTCCTGTCCTTGGTATTTATTTGGTCAGATTGGAGATCAGGCCTATTCCATTCTATTTTACTTTCTGGTTCCCCATTTTAGTTTTTAGTTTTTTCTCTCTACCGTCCTGTATTCCCTCTCCAAACTCCACCTTTTATCTGAAGTACTTGTTCATGCTTTACATGTATTTTTATAGATGTTTGTTCCTTTCTCTTTGTCAGCTTAGCCTGTTCCACTCCTTCTGGTCTATCCTTCTGTACTTTGTTCCCGTGCTGTTGAGTTGGGTTACATTTATCTTTACTCCTTCCTTCTTCTTTTGTATTTATTATTTGTGTCGCCCCCTTTCTCTGCCCAAATGTCTTCAATGATATTCCTTTCTCCCTAATGACTTGAACTAATGTTATACAGCTTCTATCCTCATTATCTTTCTGCCCCCCAGTGGCACAGCAGTATGTCTGCAGACTTACAATGCTATAAACTGGGTTTCAATACTCGTGGTGGGCAGAGCACAGATAGCCCATTGTGTAGCTTTGTGCTTAACTTCAAACAAACACATTATGTTTTTAGGATTTTTCCTCTTTCTTGACATTCCCCTTTACTCCTATTGTTCGTTTAGATCAGTCTTCTAACCTTTTCATTCCAGATGCCAAATTTTCCTCTTTTTCTCTTCTTCCCTCTACCAAAAGTCTTAGTTCATCACTCTTCTTGTCAGTGACCTCACATATTTACGATTCTATGGGTACCCACATCTTCTCCTGCTGTTAATCTCAATTTCTGCAAATAGTCGTTTTTCATTTTCCCACCTTGATCTCTTTCCTTAATCATTTTCCCATTTCCTTTTCTTCTCCCTCTAATGCCACCTATGGTCTTTTTCACCCAAACTATGGTTGGCCATGGTTGATGTGGTAAACACATTTCTACGCATTACTCTTGGCTCATCCTCCATTTGTTTTCCAAGTTCCATCAATCTTTTTCTCGTCTTTCTGTTCCTTGTTCTTCCATTTGACTTAGCATCAACCTCTTTTATATTCATTGGTATCATGAGTGTCTTCACTTGTCATATTCATGACCCAGGTCTGGTGTTCCTTTTCTTTGATTATTTAATTCTGTTATCCCATTCTTTTGCACGTGGGGGGGGGGGGCTTATTCTGAGATCTAAGTCCTTTCTAATGCCCCC